CCCCCCCCCCCCCCCCCTTCTCAATCATGGCCAACTGGGCGCCCTGTGAACCACTCGCCCTGTATTGTCCGTCCTCCATGACCCTAGTGCGACCGGAGGAGAGAAATATTGCTCTAATCCAGTCTGCACACACAGAGAGAACCTAATTCTGTTTCTCAAGCTGGAAATCACTCTTATGAAATGGTGTGACATGCGATGCACAAGTGAACAAAATGCTGTCGGAAAGTCCAGTTGGTATTCATTCCACCAGCTCTCAAGGTTTGTCTTTGTCTTCTCTTCTCTTTGCAGTCGACTTTTTGGCAAAGTATTGCATTTTCAGTCAGGAGAAGCTGGCTGAGTACAAAAGAGCTTTTGAAGCAGTAAGTGAAAAGGCATTCAACCCCTTTATATTTGGGATATTCTCTGTCACTCACTGTAATATGTTGCACTCCCTATTCAGAACAAGGTGATTTTTCAACAATGAGGATGAAAACAGGGCTTCAATTAACAACTATTTTCATTATTTTGTCAATAAATAGATTAATTGTAGAAAAACAGCATTTTACAGCATCTTGAATTAAGATTTTTTATTTTGTCAATCTGAGGTCAAGAATGAGCTTCCATGCTCAGAATAGATTTTTCTGAATTGTCTGCTGGATACTTTTGCCTCTTAGACCCTTAAAAATACTTTCAGGTGAACCGCTGATCTCGATGATGGTGATGATGGTGATGATGATGATGATGGTGATGATGATGGTGATGATCTTTCTTTGCAGGAGGACGGTGATGATGACGGCTACATCTCCTGCCTTCAGGCTCTGCTTGCTCTTAAAAACATCATCCCTCCGGAGCTGCTGTCTGACGAAGAAGAAATCTACGTCTACAGGGTCGGCTTGTATCTGTACACATGCAGATACACAACTATTTAATTAAACACACACACACACACACTGCGTTTTACTGACATAAAAACAGCACAATCGGAGCTTCCAACACAACCAATCAACCAATCAGCGAGTTGAGTAGAGCCGTGTAGTGTTGTACCATCCAGTGGAAATGTGGCAATAGAAACTGCAGCACTTTGAGCTAAGTGTATGTCTTTATTCTGCTTTTTCTTAGATCCTAGAGATGGTGGACTTCAGAGTGACAGATGGGCTCGTGGACCTGAGGCTCTTTGCTGTGATTGCAAGCCTGGCACAGAAAGTAGCCGCCATGGAGTAAGTGACCTTCAGCAGACACGCTCTGAACTCCTCAATGAGGCCGGAAGAGGAGTCCCTGACCCGCCATAAATAAGAATAAGAGTGTGTACGCAAATTTGTTCCAGTTAATTTGTCGTCGTGTGTGGGGCTCCCTTTGATCCTCTTCTTCTCGCGTCTTCAAACGTTTTGTGACTTTAGTTTAGACGTGATAACGGCCTCATCACATCAAACGACCAAAGCAAACGACGATGTTGGCATCAAGTTGTTGAGCTAAAATGCTAAACCTTCTCTGGTTTCAGCTTCTCAAATGTGGGGATTTGCAGATTTATTTCTGATTTATTTAACTTTGAATTGAATATTCAAAACAAGACGTTTTGAGGGTGTTAACGTGTGAACAGGCATTCATCTGCAGGGTAATCAATAATAATAGTTACTTGCATTCCTTCATTTGCCCCTGTGCAGACAGAAGACATCACTCTGATTTGAACTCGTCCTTAGCGTCCTCGTGTCTCTACATTATGACCCATATGTCGCAGATTCCCACACACATCGCTGTTTTTCTTCTGCCCTGGGGTGTAAAGCTTCCTACAGACAGGAGTGTGTGGAGCCAAGCCTACTCTGGAGGTCTCCGAGGGTCAAGGCCTGCTCCCAAAGCCCTCACCCCGGAGTGAGAGCTCCCTCTCAGCGAGGACAGGGTCAGGGTCACGGGGCCCTCTGATTTACGGCCGGCCCTTTGTGTTGTGTATTAGAGGAGGCCTGTAGACTGCCTGCTCCACTGGCACAGAGAGACCAGGGTGTCTCCTCTGTATGGAGGCAATTATAGTAATGATAATGAACGACCATATTAAACCTCTTTTCACTAAACTCCTTTTTTGCGATTTGAATAATAAGAGAGGAGATCGGCGTTCATAATGCCGGCTCCTAAACAAGGAGAAAACAATAGCATCCTTCTGTCGTCTCATCCCGACTGAACTAAATTGATCCTCTTACCTGTTTCAGTTAATCCTGTTGTCTCTAATCCTATTTTAGAAATAAACTGCATCAGTAGTTACACAATCAGCCTTTCTGATCATGTCAGGCTTTGAAATCTGAGGAGATGATTTTTATATATAATTATTTTTCTTCTGATTTTACTTTGCACTAATTGCACCCCCTCCCCCTGCTTTACAACTCTCCCTGTCCGTCCCTCTCATGTCTCTAATCTCTTCGGCTCTCTTGTTGCCTGCTTCTCACCCTCTGTGCCGTGCTGTTTTGGCCCTTGACTCAACCCATCTGTCCCTGCGTAGCATTGTGCTCCCCAACAAGTCCACCTCACACGGCGCCACATTCCCTCAGGGCAAGTCACATGGTCTGCCAAGAAGCACATTGCCATACAGGATTCCCAAACGGCATCGGTGGAGCCGTCGCAGTCATTGTTTTTGTCACTCGCATGCCTTGTTGCTCGCGTTGGATCTGTGAGCGTGCACTGACAGTTACTGGAAGTTTCCTCGCTCCGGGAAATTCACTGCACTAAATGGGTCAAGGAGCGGAGGATGTTGGTGAAACCATGAGACAGCAGAACCGAGACCACCAATGCGGGTTTCCCTCCTCCTCCAGAGAGTTTCCCTCCTACCCAGTCAGCACTGCGTCCCTGCATACCGCTCAAAAGTGTCCTCGACAACTGTCAATTCTGTCAAATAAAACTAGGTCAGATTATGTTTGCGTCCCTTCACCCCCCGCCGGACTACATACCGGCTCCCCAATGAGGAGACCGCCAAAATGTTGGGCATTACGTAAGCGAGAAGTCTTCTGTGTTGACCACAGCGGGGTGCCAGAGGAGGGCCGACAAAAGAAAATGAGTTAGGCTGCTATTACCTTCCCCATCACCAGTCCCCTGGACCCTCGTTCATGCTAGCCATTATCACGCCAGTGTCCTTGGCACACCAGCATTTTGGACTCTTTTACTGCAAACCAAGTGCAATTAATGATCATTAGCTGCCCTGTCTCGCTTCATCCCCATCAAGCCACTGCCTGCACTGTGGTTAGAGGACCAGGGCCAATCGCAGCGCAGGGAGCACTCAGGCGTGCATTGCACTCGTTGGCCTAGCGCTCGGCCGTTCTTCGCTCTAGCAGGCCATTGAGCGCGCGGCGAGGAGGGGCTCATTAACACCGGGCGCTCGTTAGAGAAGAGACGACCGTCGCTGTGCCACACGCTGAACAGGAGAGGTCTGTCCCAACACAATCGGTCGTGTCTCCCTCTAATTATCCGTGTGGACCTAGATTTTGTTGGTCTGCCAGTGGTCACATTGCACCAGAGTGTGCCCCCGGTCGCTTATTTCCCTCCATTAACCTCCACACGAACCCCCGTTAACCCCCGCTCACTCTGCTCCAGCTCCCCCACCACACACACACACACACACACACACACACACACACTGTCCCCAAAGCCAGAGCGGTTTTTATCCGTTACTGTGGCGGGATGTCCACGTGTGCACACGTATTGTTTGGCAGCCAGGCCACTGTGAGCAACCACAATGGGCTCAGAACACTTTACCATCACTTCTCTGCACACGACATCGCATGGGACTGACCCGCCAAAAATCACCCGCCGCCGCCAACAGATTTGTCCCGAATGTGTCTGCAGCGGCCACTAAAGTATTTCACAACACTTTCACACTGATTGGATTGAAGATGGATGACAAAGTTGTCATTGTGATTCACAACGGCCCTGTTTGGACAAATGTAGGCTTGTCAAAGATTCATTGACACTTTAAAACGTCCTCTGAGGCTCACAAAAGTCATCAGGGTTATCTTTTAATTTATAACAGAATACCTACATTACAAGCTGAGGGCGTTGGCATTCACCAGGAAGGAAAGGTGAAACACAAAACACTTTTGAGTTGCTTTATGAGAAGTGTAGGATCCAGCTTGAACTGTACTAGGAGCTGAGAACTCATTCTTGATTTTATCTCCCTTGATTATAAATGTACTTTTTTTTAAACTATGCTCACGTGTTCTTTTGCAGAAGCAACTGTCACCAACTAATGCGTTAATTATGCTGTTTTCTTCCAGTGAGTTTATGCGATCACTAATCACCGACATGGACTTCCGCTCTTTAGAAGTGAGGCTCTTCAAAGCGAAGGTAATATAAAAGTTTGTCTTACGTTTCCTCAAATTCTCTTAAGCGTCTGCTGGCTAATGGTCTCCCCCCCCCCCCCCCACACACACACATGTCTATACTCTTGAATTTGTATTCACAAGGTGCACTTCAGCCTCCACGCAACATCAGATTAACTCTCACATGAGTCACATTCATGCCACAAACTCCGTCTCCGCCCCTCTTTCATGGCTCTGCGGGTATAATTATAATGAAATAAATACTGGTAAACACTTTGAAGAGCAATTCCAAAGCATGCTTTGTAAAGCTAGCCCTTTTTTTTTTTCCTTTTTTTAAATGAAAGACACTCAGCCCGCATGCATAGAAATGAGGGAAGCAAGCCAGAGGAAGAAAGAGAGGGGTGCTTTTCCCTTTTCATAGATTAGCAAAGCCCTAATCTCATTAAAGTGCCCAGCAGTGAACATGCCGTCCACTCCGCCCAGCCCTGTAATCAGCCCGAGACACACGGCTCATCTCAGATGGACCGGGACTAGCCTACCAGCTGGCCGCTCGCAAGCAGGCCCGGCCCTCATTCATACAAGGAAGTGCTGAGCAACTGAAAGACAGGAGGAACCTGAGAATGGGCTGATTGCCAGAGGGATTATTCCCCCTACCACAGCAATTATCACCTTGACTGCATTAACTGTGCAAACAGGTGCACTCAAACAAGACCTGAAACAGGTTGAGGTAATCTGAGGCTGAGAATCGCACACAATAATGTGTGCATACACCAACGCGCTCACAACAGTGCTCAGAGAGAGTTCAAAGCCAGTTTGCCTTCTTATTTATGTCAAATATATTATTATTATTGTGTAGCAACTGTTCCTGTTCCTCCTGGAGGAGCAGCAAGGAGACGCCGGAGCTCAGCGGGGCTTCATCAGCGCGGAGCAGCTGCTTTTGGAGCTGAAGGCCGGAGGAATCCACCTGGAGCAGGAGGCGGCCGTCAGGCTGGAGCTGCAGCACATCCCCCCCCCTGTACCTGCTGGACTTCCTGGCCTACCTGCCGCTCTTCATGCTCATTCACAAGTCGGTCATCTCCAACCCTCTCGATGACTCCAGCAACCTCTGACCTCAGCCACTGCACCGTCAGCCCTGTGTGGCTCAGGCACCAGCATCACTGCCACTGAAACTACCAGGACTGTGAAAAGAACACACAAGAAATAAGAGACGCTTCGATTAAAGGGAGTGAATTTAGCACCGTAGTAATTGTTCACAAAGTTATTAATCTCCCATGATCTTTTAAGCCCTGTCACACCACCATTTCAAAGGCTAAATTTCGTGGAAAGTTGAATTCATTCCGATGGGATCGCCACAATCAACGTTCACATCATATTGTTTAAACCGTAAATACGAGCAGCAGAGTGGGAAAACTGTTCACATCAGCCTCTCCGAGTCGGAGATACGTTGACTAACGACGTAAGTGAAAAGGTGACATTTTGTGCTCTAGCTAGGGACTTAAAGATGCTAAATTCCACATTCAGAGCATTAATATAGCAGCAAGCAACTATTTGCTATGTATGGCTCCCCCTCAGGTAAACACTTCTGGCGTTGTTAGCACCGTTAGCTGCTAACCGCCTGCTCAGCAGTCACCATGTTGAGAGCCGTGTAGAGGCAATCCTTCTGCTCTGAAATCACTAGTGAGCATCTGTAAAATGAACTTTTACAACTTATTTTTACAGTCGCTTAATACTTCTCCAGAATCCTTGATGTTTGGATAAATGTCTTTTGAAAACCATACATGAAAATGCAATGTATTAAACGGTCCTTCTTTGTTGCTGTGACATACTTGACATTTCATAGAGCTGTGAAGTGCTGTCTATGGTCCTGAAATGTTCTGTAGCAGTGGATGGTGATCGTTTCTCACTGGACAAAGTCTTGCACAGTTTGACAAAGCTTTAAATGCATCGCAGTACTATAATATTGGCTGCATTGCATAAAAACTCCTTCTACAAACTGGCCCGGACTCTCTCTGCTTCGGGGGGCGGGGCTCACGTAAAGATATTCTGATGAACATCTTTGTATTGTTCTGGAGAAAGAAAAACAACGTTTGAGCAGCTCAGACTGTCGTTCTCTTCTATCCGATTTAATCAACACTGATGAATGATATTGAATGAGATATTCAACCAATACACTTTGAGCCATTGTTTTGCCTCAGCTTTGCCAATTAGATATGGCCGTGCTCTCCTGCGGCTCATACACGCTTGACAGACCGCCACAGAGGGAAACGTAATGGACTCTGACAGGGCAACAAACCAGGATTGTTAGATATCAGGGATGTCCTGTAAGCAGCATATGTCATCATGAAAAAAAAACGAGAGAAAACTGTGATTCTAAAGCTGTCAGAAATACTATTCTATTGATATTCTATTCAAGCGTTGATAAGAACACTTTGGACTTCAAATAAAGTGTTTGTCTTCAGTATCCTCCACTAGTCGCTGTCGCTGACGGGTGAAGAACTTATTTGTAATTCTCTGAGGATGAAAAATGAAACATGCTGATGTGTCTCACAGCTTTACAGGGTGTAAAAGCCGGACTAGTTATACGTTTAAGGTATTTTTACATTTAGAGTTGTAAAGTTCACATTTTGTGTTTGGAAATTTGTCATAATTGTGTTGCATTTGAAAAATAAGATTTGGGAATTACTCTTTTGGGGGGGGTTTGGTGTTGGGATGAGCAGATTGTACCTTTGATAAATGAGTTGACTGTTTTTCAGAGTGATAAATGTTAATACTTAAATATAATAAACTGCTGTCAAATTTGGCAAAACATTTCTCTATCAGAAAAACATGTAATCCCTGTAATGATGTTTGTTGCTCAAACCTGAATTAAATAATTATTATAAATTTGTAAGTATTTACAACAATGTGTTCTTCCTACTTTCTTGGAGCCATGTTCATTCTTCGAGGGGCCCTCTTGCTCCCTCACAGGGCCCCCTGGTGGTCCATGAACCCACCATTGAGAACAACTGATGCAGCGCACATGCATCTTGCACAATGACCCTGTTCACAACCCACGTGGTTGTGCACTTACTTTCTTTTTGTGGATAAAATATTTCATTCTTTCCTTAAATCTGTGAGTATTTGTATTTGTTTTCTTCGAGTTTATTGTCGAAAACAGCTTTAAAAAATATAGTAAAGACTAGCCAAAGTATCACACACACACACGCACACACACACTCACATACTCCAAAAACACACACACACACACACACACACTGGGCTTGTTCCCTCCTTCCCAGGTGGTGATTGTTGTGTGTTCAGCGGCATGCTGCTGTCAGGAGGCACACGCCATCAGCCAATTCAGCTCCGTGTCTCCACTCGACCACCACACAAACCCCATTCACTCATTAAAGCAGACACGCGTCCGGCTGCAGCCTCCGCCCTACCTGTCAAACTTCGTTTTGCAGTTAAACACGAGCTCTACCTCAAAATCTACTGGTGGTCCCCGTCACACCGACATTCTCTCCGTCTGCTAATTCAAAAAGACGCTGGCAAAGTTCTCATGTTTGTTTGGATGAAAATAAAAAATAATGCGAAAGCTCCAACTTTGGTGCTCTCTCTTCCGTTTTAAAACGTTTGTGTTGTAGATAGTGAATCCCGTTAAATCTAGTTTGTATTTGTTTATACTAGGAACAGTTAACGCGCAGTTTAAAGCTGCATACAGAACAAACTATGATTACAGGCGTTTTAACTCATTCATTAGAAAATGATCATTTTTTGCTGGTGTTTGTTTACTTCAAGGTCCATTTCTTTGGAGAAATGTTTCATCAGTGATTGTATCTTACAGCTGCTGCTTTAGTAGAATTTCGTAATTCTTTGAAATAAACAGAAATGACTTTAACGTTTATGCACTTGAGACGCCAGATTTACTTTTTGCTCTTGCGCAAAAAAAAGGATCAATTCAGTTGTAGATGCTGTCCAATTGTACAGAAGAGATTAGGCAGACTTGGACATTGAGGGTTCGGCTGAGGGAAATGTGACGAGAAGCTTTAAGGCGCCATTATGTTATGGATTTGACAGCCTGGAAAGAAAATGCATCGTGCGTAAAATGTGCGTAACTGTGCGTAAAAGTTGTTTCTTTCTCCCCTTTCTCCTTAAAGTGCAGTATAATCCTATCTCTATCATTCCCTATCGCTTTCCCCTCCAATTAGTTACAAACCACATGTTGAAAGCTGGGACCAAAAGTGATCCCCCTCCTTTAGATACGCCCCAAAATAACAAGACAGAAAATAATTCAGTAGCAAATCATTTTATTCTTGGACTGGAGTGTAGAAAATATGGTTATAAGACTTCTTTTTTTCAACATCTGTTTATGTGAAGACAATATAGAGCTGGCAGTATAAAGAGACAATGCATGGCCATTGCGCTCTGTTTGGACAATAGCTGCATACGTTTTGATCATTGTGAACTTCATGACATAATGCAATAACATGTTTTGCTATTAAATAAGACACATTGGTGCTAGAATAAAACGTCGGAGTGTCAAACTCCTTCTGGAAACCTCATGAACAGAAGAGCCAGAGAATAATAGACTACACGTCTACATAGGCAGGAGGTATAGAAGCAACTTCGCAATATATAGACAAAATATATACAAAAAGGATGTGTACAAAACATCTATAAATCTCTTACATACAAAAATAGCTTAATATATTTAAAAAAAAAGCGTTTCATATAGAATTGTATAGAATAAATCTGTGACTTGGAAGCATTTTTCTGAATCAAAACGTCAGAGAGGTTTACCAAAGGGTTGGTGTTCTGTGATTGGGTTTAGCATAGTTGAAGAGCGACATATTAAATAATGTTTTTATAGAGCATGAATTCACTTTAGGGTTGTTGTTGTGTTTGTTTATCATGGGCAAATGCACAGAAGCTTTGATTCCCACGCTGTCAGGAGAACCGTCTTCCTTTAATCCTTTGGCGCTGATCTCCGGCCTGATTTACCCCCAAGTTGTTGGGGACGTTAAGGCCGTGTCTGTCTTTCTGTCAGTCTGGGAGGACCGGGCGTTAAAGGACAATGCGTCTTGTTCTTGAGGACACCCAGCCTCCTCCGGGAACATCCCAAGCGCACTTCAACAGTAAAGTGAGTTGATCCATATGTCTGTGAGAAGAAGGAGGAAAAGAAAGGGTAAGCCACTGTTCAGGGTGTTTATCGTGAATGTTTATCGACAATGTCATCTTATATTAATTCTGATGTCTTTCAGTGTTCTTACCTTTGTATAGACGCTCAGAACCAGTTGGTGAAGTCGAGCAGCTCCTGCTCCTCCGGACTGAGGGCGACGTAGGAGCCCTCGTCGGATGAGTACGAGGACACCGGTGAACCTGCCATGGAGTTCATGTCATGGGAGTATCCCTGCGACATGTCGGGCGACAGGACGCCGGACTGAAACGCCGCGCTCACCGCGTCGTGCTCGTCCAGCAGTTGCTGCAGGGCGCGAATGTACTCCACGGCCGAGCGCAGCGTCTCCACTTTGCTCATCTTCTTGTTGGCGGCGCCGTTGGGGACGTGCTCCCGCAGAGTGGCGAAGCCGTTGTTGACCAGCTTCACCCGGTTGCGCTCCCTCTCGTTCCTCCGGGCCACCGCGTGCGGCTGCTGCGGGGGAAGGCTGTAGCCGAAACCCGCGAAATTCAGTCTTCGCTTGCAGCGCAACAGCTCCGGAGAGGACGAGCGCTGCCTCTTGGGCTGCTTGGAGCCCGACTTCCCGCTGCCCTGGCTGCTGCCGCTCGGGCTCAGCTGGACGCTCTGCGCCGCAGCGGCGGCGAAGAAGCAAGCGGGCGGCAGAAGCTGCTGCTGGCTGATGTTAATTTCCATCTTGGCTGTGAAGTCCATTTCCAGTAAACAAAAAAAATATATAAAATTATAAAGAATCACCAAGTCTCGAGGCGGTGCGTCCCGCTCGTGCCGTTCACGTGGTGTGGCCGTTTGACGTGCACTTGTTTTCAGTGGGGGCAGTCCGCTGGACTGCTGCCTCGCGCGTTCCTCAAAGCTGCTCTGAGTCCTCGAGGACAGACGCCACTGCTTTTCAATACATTTGGATGGGGGACTGGCCACGCCCTCCGGTCGCGTGGATTCACCTTGGGCTCCTGCCCCGGTGCCGGTGCGTTGCGCGCGCCGGACGCGTGCCACTTGAAGCACTAAGCAAACAGTCAGTGGTGAGGTTTTTTCCTTTCTTTTCTTTTCTATCTATCACGGGTGTCAGTTAGGTGAGGCAGAGCGGAGAGGAAAGTTTTCAACACAGAGTCCCGTTCAGGACAATATGTTCACAACATTATGAAGAGAAACACTAAAGAGTTTTAATGTTTCGGTCCAAAGCAAACAACCTGTTTGTGTCCATGTTTGAATGAACAAAAAACTGTTGTTTTTATATTTATTATGTCAATTTCATCGATTTTTTTGTCATTATTTTAGATGTCAGATATCATGAACAACTCTGTAATTGGACCATTTGGGAATCATTTAACGAATAGATTGTAACTTTGTCTAATATGTGAATCTTGTAAACACTAAACTAAAAGTCATGTCTCATATGGATTTTATAAATTCATGAGTGTGAGAACTTCTCTTTGTGTTTCACTGAACAGACGCTGCGCGAGTTGTCAGAGATGTTGAGAAAGTCCGTTTCAAAGTCTCACATCAACAAGTGATATCAAAAGTCATATGGCTTTTCAAATAGAGTAAATAATGGGAGAGAGTTTGTGTTCTGAAGAATGTATGATGAATTGTTTGTTTACTTCAAAAGACCAGTAAAAAAAATCATAATTCAGAATGAGAAAAATATATTTTATCCGTTTATCTATAGAGCCAAACTGTGGTGCTGAAAGACAGCTCTCTCTCTCTCTCTCTCTCTCTCTCTCTCTCTCTCTCTCTCTCTCTCTCTCTCTCTCTCTCTCTCTCTCTCTCTCTCTCTCTCTCTCTCTCTCCTCGTGCTACACTTTATCTGAGAGCTCTGCATGTAAATCAGTCGCTCGCTGGCGTTTCAACTCAAACACGTCTAGTTTTATTGTCAGCGCTACAGACGCGTCTGAATGCCGCTCATTTTAGGGACCATTGTGCGTCAGAGGCCGAATTTTCCACTTTGATTAGAGCGGATCATCAGCCGCGCACAGGCGGAACGGAGGAGCGCAAATCTGTTGGGGGCCCCAAAGAATCAGTTTGGAGGAGGCTTTGTGTCTGATTTGATACACCCGATACGGTTACAGTAGCGTGGACGCGGAGTGTTCTCTCCATTAATGTCGCTCTGAAAAGTGAAGAATGATAAAACACGTCTTTCAGCGCGGAACAAAACCAAGACCAAACTGTGTTGCCCTCTCTGTTTTTTTAAGTGCGTTTGCGCGTGCATGTGCAGTGGTGCGTGTAAATCCAATAAACCCGAGAAAAATAGATTGTTTTTCAGTTTGCGCGTAATTATTATTATTTTTTGCGCACGAAGTACTTCTCTGCGTGTTTTTATGGCTTTCCATGCGTGCGTACAGATAAGGTTTGTGTGTGCGTGTGTTGGCGCGTGCACGTGCGATGAGAGAAATCAGATTTAGGATTATTTGTTTTTTTAGTTTGTGCGTAATTTTCCCATTTTGCGCATGACGTTCTTCTCTATCAGTGCTTTTGTTTTTCAATGCGTGTGTACAATTCCTTGCTGTGTGTGCAAATAACCTCACACACACACCCTGTGCGCGTGCGCCTGTCTACATGCGTTCTGAAGTCGGGATTGTAATAAATTGTGCAATTTTTCTGCGTTGACAGTGTTTAAAAAAAAGCTTGCATTGACGAACCCCCTAGTCCCAACCCCCCCTCCACACACACACACACACACACACACCCACACACCACCACCCAATACTTTTCTTTTCTTTCCCCCCCCCTTGTTCTCTCTCTCTCTCCCTCTCGCCCTTTTTTTCGCCCAGCAAGAGAGTTTAGAAAAGAAGCGTGGGTTCTATTCAGCCTCCCCCTGCACTCCTTCACCATCGCCTGGCTTTCTGAAACCTATCCATGCCCTGTCAGTGTGCTTCCAGAGTCCAATTAGCGCTTTGTGAGGACTCTCTCTCTCTCTCTCTCTCTCTCTCTCTCTCTCTCTCTCTCTCTCTGCTGCTGGTCTTCCAGAGGCTGGGAGGGCGCTCCTTTTTTTCTTTCTTCGAGGGACTTTCCAGTCTTAGCCGAGTGTAATAATTAATATGACATCTGGGCGCCCGAGTTCTCCTTTAACCACTTTCTGTATTTCTCTCTTTTCTTTGGGGAGTTCGCTTTGTGGAGACAATAAAACAAAAACTCACAAGCACCCGTATCATCCATAGCATCTTTGTGTGTGATGTGAGGGATAATCTTTCAATTTGTTTGTCATTAAAAACTGTTTTTCTGACAGTGTTTTGTTGTCTTTCGGCAGGTGCACCATTAGTAATGGATATATGTTTAAAGACTGACGTTTAGCAGTTGCTCTTTTTTAATTAATAGATAAAATGTGCAAAAAATGTCCTACGGTTAATTACTGTAAATGGATATATTTTTTCTGTGTTTAATGAATCTTTTCATTCTTTGTTTTAGTTTCATTCATTCATTCATACAGAAATATGTGTATTGCCTACAACAAGAATAAAATATAATAAAGTGAGAGGAAATAAAATGGAGGACAAGAAAGGGGAAAAACAAAACCGAACAAATAATTCAACCACCTGTTGCAATGAGTTAGAAACATTTTTAAAAGACTATTTCTGTAATTAACTTCTGCCTTCTCTTTGGTGTTTGTGTAAACACCTCCTCCCTCTGCGATGCGTTGTTTTCTGCCTGACGTGAAAAGTTGTGATTGAATGTCGCCCTCTAGTGGACAACAGTGGTACTTGACGCTGGAGGTAACTTCTCTCCATTTTACAAAACTGACATATAAACATTAATAGTATACTTTTACAAGGGGTTAAAGGGTAAATATAGCATAAAAAAGATTCAGCTGCAGAGAATTATCCTGCACAATTTTCAAATATATTGATGTTTAATTATTTGGGGTTAGAATATTGACCTTTTTAAATGTACTCTTGCAATGTGACATTTTGATAAGATGTCAAAGATTAATTTCATTCATACAATTTCATGGAAAACCCAGATTTAACACATTTGAACTGAGTATCATTAAAGCGCGGTAATGTTTGCGATATAGGTAGTTTGTCTCTACTAAGCTGCCGTACTTTCTAAGGTCACGTGCTTTTGTTTACTAGGAAGAAGCTAGCAACTATACAGCTACGTAACCATCCATTTAATCATCTATACGGGCTTTAACGTAATTCAACAAATAGGTAGTTTTTAGAAAGCAGTTAGGTATGAAGGATACAATGTTATATCGCGCTTTTTAGGAGAAACTAACGTTAATTGTAGCTCCTTAGCCCATGAGAGCTAATGTTAGCTTAGCTAGCTATCAAAATCATGAACTATCTTTGGTCCAGCTATTAACAGCAGCTTCTCAAATGAGTGTGATTTAGCGGTTTTAAAATATAGCTAACGATAGCTAACTATGCGGTCCTTGAACTACGTTCAACGTGTCGCTTTGGATTTCACAGGAACTCTGTTTCCTCACGCGATCTGTCTGGGAGACGCTGACAACGACTCGGTGAGTACGATGACATTATTGTAGATTCATCTCACAGCCCATGAATTATGTAACGTAAACCTGGAATAAGGTACAGATTGAGTGCATGCTTTAATAAAAATGCTCAAAACATGCATGTAACTTGGTGTAAGAACGTAAGTCTGCATTACTTTTGAATGCACTCTCTGCAAAAGACTGAAGTACTTTCCTTGATGGCATACTGTAGAAATAAGGTCACAAAACAAAAGTTCTGTGTGGAACATATTCAAATATTGAAAGCTTCTCACATCTGAGAATTTGCTCCTTCTTTCTTCTTGTCTTATATTTTAATGTCTTTGGGTTTTGGATCGTTGCTCAGACAAAAAAAAAGGCATTTGAAAGATGAGCAGTGTCTGCATTTTCTCAATGTGTGACATTCTTTGGACCAAATGTTGCTGTAGCTCTAAATATGATTGATATGTGTGCTTCATTAGAACCCCACACTCATTTTAAATCAGTTGAAGTCTACATGTGGACCTTTTGGTCACATGCTGACTGATTATACCTGATGCCAACATTCATACACTTCTGTGTGGCTTCTCTCCAGTCCTCCTACATTTATACACCATGATAAACTCTCAGGTTATTCTTCTGTGTTTGTGGTGTTTCCGTATTAAAGCAAAGCAAATGTGCCGTCTGTCTCCATTCACTGCAGTTGAACGAGCTGGTTGTGGGCGACACCAACGGGAAGCTGCTTGTGTACAAGAATGACGACTCCAAACCCTGGGTCACCAGAACCTGTGTGGGCATGGTCAGTACACAAACAGGGAACTCATGATGATGATTTCATAGAGAGAATCTGTTTCTCTTACTCATACAATGTGTCTTGGTTTGGCAGCTGACTTGTGTTGCAGTTGGAGACGTCTGCAACAAAGGAAAGGTGAGTTATGAAATCAGCAGCAGCAGCGTAGCATGAATATTTTTGGTGGTGTTCCCAACATCGTGTTTTTTCCTCGTTTGGCAGAACTTCGTGGTGGCTGTCGGTGCGGAGGGCTGGTTTCACCTCTTTGACTTGACAGCTGCCACTGCAAGTAAAGCGGATTCATCCAGTCAGCATGAGTTCATGTCCCCAGACGACCAGAAGCCTCTTTTCACCCAACATATTCCTGCCAACACCAAAGTCATCCTCATCAGTGATATCGGTAAATGACTTCCTTCCATCTTCTGTATGCGTCCTGTGTGTCTTGCTTCCTGAATTTGACCACAGCGTGTGCACTCCTGTGCCGTAGACGGTGACGGCCGCAGTGAGCTGGTGGTCGGCTACACGGACCGAGTGGTGCGAGCTTTCCGTTGGGAGGAGCCGTCCGACGGCTCAGAGCTCGGATCTGGACAGCTGGTTCTGCTGAAGAAATGGCTTCTGGAGGGGCAGGTACACTTCGCTTCAGCTGCAGGAATTATTACTTGTTTCTTACATATGTACTTTTTAAATGTATATATGTAAATATACATGTTTAAATGTGCAACACAGAGAAGATAAAGTCGTCGTGTACAGTGAAATGAAAGCTTCTTATCCAACCACACAAATTGAAAGTCAGTTTAATGTGAACGTCTGTGGTGCAGGTGGACAGTTTGTCGGTGAACCCGGGTCCAGAGGGTTTACCAGAGCTGATGGTGTCTCAGCCGGGCTGTGGCTACGCCATCCTGCTGTGCTCCTGGACTCAACAGGACTCCAACAGCTCCGGAGAAGAAGCCCCCCCCACCCCTGGGAGGTAGACACGGTCACAAACAAAAGTTCTAGACGTGTAGATGCAGGACACTGATTAAACGTGTCTCCATGTCTTCGCTCACAGTGAGGGACCTTCCAGAGATGTAGTTCTCCATCTGACCACCGGGCGGATACACAACAAGAATGTTTCCACTCATCTCATCGGCAGCATCAGTAAAGGTCCGTGTTTCTATAGTGTAGACAATATTTAGTACGCGTAATATTAAAACGGAATCTAACCATGTGTTTCTGCTTTTCAGCAGGCTCTAAAGAGGAATCTTCTACATGTGGGCTGTTTGCTCTCTGTACTTTAGATGGTAAGTCATGAAGTCATGAGGCTTTTCTCCACAGTCAGTGTGTTACTACAGTAGATGGAGTTTGGAGAACCAGCACATTTTTGTGTTTGCAGTAGTAGTAATACTATATGTAACCAAACATTCAGTCTACGTCATGGCTGTTAGTCAATGAAGGGGATCCTCCTGGCAAACAGCTCTCAGAGCAGCTGGAGAGTCCATCAATATTTCAAGCAGAGAGGATCCAGTGGGATTATCATCATTAAGGCTGTAAGCTGGCAGCATTTTACACCAACAGTCTCTTGGGGACACCTTGATGAGCCAACACATCAGAGGTTATCGGCTTATACCTGATCAGTTGTCCGCAGTGTGGAAGTGTTACAGGTTCTCAGAGCAGCATCGATCTTTCTTACCTCGTTGACAAGAATGTGTTTGGACTGAGTTCACTCTGCGTTTACCAGCCACACACATTAAATAACCGTTCACTTGAATTGTTTCATTTCAGACTTCTCAGAATCGGGGTTTGCCAGAAAGCATTTCGTTTTCCGTGTTTCTTGAGCAGAACTTTAATGTTCCGCGTGGATCTGTTTCTACCTTCAAATGTTCAGGCACGCTGAAGTTGATGGACAGCTCAGAGCAGCTGCTGTGGTCCGTGCAGGTGGATCATCAGCTGTTTGCACTGCAGAAGCTCGACGTCACCGTGAGTTTGTGTGTGTTTATGGAGAGCTAAATACTTTTAGGTTCCATTGTTTTGATAATCACGGTGAGGGTGTATGTGTGTTTTTTTTCCCAGGGAGACGGCAGAGAGGAGGTGGTGGCGTGCGCCTGGGACGGTCAAACCTACATCATTGACCACAATCGGACTGTCGTGCGGTTCCAGTTCGATGAGAACGTCAATGCCTTCTGTGCGGGTGAGAGACCTCGTCCCTGACCCCCAAAGTCATCCTTTGTATCAGGTCAGATTCTCTCCTGGGTGGTGCTTTGGGTGGTGTGAGTAAACTCATGGCACCAGTAGGTGGCGGCGTTGAGCTTTGGCTTCACCCGGTCTTCTTCTTCTTCCTTTTCAAATCTTTCTGCAGTGTTTAAACAAGCCACAGTTCATTTGAGGGAGCTAATATGACATTTGCAGAAGTAAGTGGATTAGAGAGGGAGACCAGAGACTTTGTTTGATCTGTCGGATTCCATTGGGTTTTGTTTCCTTGCACCTACAGTGTGTGTGTGTGTGTGTGTGTGTGTGTGTGTGTGTGTGTGTGTGTGTGTGTGTGTGTCTCTGGTCTGTCTCTGTGATCATTAAGGGAGATTAGATTGGTTGGTTTCTCTGTTTGTGTGGAAGCTGGCTCTCTCACAAAGATGTATATTTGGCATCAGAGTTCAGCTGATGTGTTCATTGTGATTCACATAACACAGTAAATCACAGCACTGCCCGCCACATATTGGGTGAATATTGTATATATCTATAATAAGTTTAGTTTTTGAGTGTGTTCTTGTGTGTGTGTGTGTGTGTGTGGCTGCAGGTCAGTACACATGTAAGGAGGGTAAGAACAGCCCCTGTCTGGTGTACGTCAGCTTCAATCACAAAATCTACATCTACTGGAAGGTGGAGCTGGAGCGCATGGAGTCCACCAACATGTTACGGGTCCTGGAGGAGCAACCGGAGTTCACCAAACACCTGAAGGTGCTGGGAGTCGGTACGTACGCCGATTCAGATTAGAGCATCCTTCCTCACGTTCAAACCGACGTCTCCTCTGTTTGTTGTTGTAATTGGACAAGAGACCAGCTGAGACTGATTGTTGTCAACTTGTTTGCCATCGCGTCTTAACACTAAGTGGGGAGAATAGAAATGATCCCCACATGACAGATTATTGCTGCTAACGACATCCTGCTCTAGTGCAGGAACAACTCGTACAAACAGATTCTTTCTTACGGGGTCACGTTTCATGATTGAACCAATTTTCTCACAGTTATGATTTTTGAACAAAATTCAACCTTTTTTGTTTTTAGATTGCATGGTCAGTCAATAAATCAATCAGGCTTTATTTATACATCACCTTTCAAACAAATAAAATGCAAATCAAAGTGCTTTAAAAATGACTTATTTTTCAACTCGACACATTTACGCATGCACGAAGAGGTCAGGGAGGAAATGCACTGAAGGAAGACTCTAATCCTATTTTGTCATGCTCTGTACATCTATAGTCTGTCAGTCGAATGTGCTGAGAGGACTGAAACATCTTGAGCGAGGCTGTAATCCTCGAGCACACAGACCCCAGAGCCAGCTTCTCTCCGAACACAATCCTCCCGACGAACAATGTTTAACTCCGTCAATAAGTTGGTTAATCATTGTGAAGGCACACAATGGTTCTTTATTTCCTGTTCATTTCCTTCAGTTAGATCATTAATCTGCCCGCGTGCGTGTCGTGTATAAAATGTTTTTTTGTGAAGATAACTCTTATTAACGAGTGGAAACCAACCCAGCGACGATTAGCGAGACTTGCTGCAGCATTGTGATTAGAGATGAAAATTGCAGGTTCCGGCTGATTTTTCTGAAGCCTGGTGGTGCCTGTTAGCGTAGCTTCCTGCTGCCTCCGTTAATAATTCAACCTCTGGGCCTGTTGTTTTCTTTCCACTGAGGATTTCACAGTTACCTAACCCAGTGTGGAGAATGTCTGCTGTAGCAGCCTGGGGACGAGGAAGTAGAGAGGAGGAGAGATTGCAGACGAGTAAGAGTGTAAAGATGTGTCTGATGTGTTGAGTGTGGACTGGAGGGGATATTTGGCTTTGCATGTTTACAGTTTTTTGTCCACATGAGAACATGAATTTAGGCAATCAAAAAATAGCTTGAAGAGCATTTACTTTCATATGCAGCCTTACTAAAACATGACGCTGTTAAATACACATAACTGCAAATAAAAAGGGAGGAATGAGAGTGAAGCTGAACTGTAGGTGTCAGCTGTGTGAGCTGTGTCACGCTGACCTGCTAGAAATGTCAGCTCTCCAGCTCGTCCCTGCTGTTCATTCACATTAACAACTCGCCTAAAAGCCAAAGGGTGATGATGAAGAGTCTGTCAGTTCTCCACCACCACGTGGGAAGGTTTCTGATTATACACAGTTTATGCTTCCTTCAATCATCGGCTAGTTTCGACTTGTTTCACTCTAGTTTGAATCTACAACGGTTGAAGCTGTATCTGGGCTGTTGTAGGTAGAGCAGGGGCGTAATATTTTAGAAAAAACTCATAATTTCTGAGATTAAAGACGTATATTTCAGAGGGAAAAAAAAGGGGATATTCTCTGAAATTAAAGTGGTAGATTTGAAAGAAAATACTCCCATATTTACGAGACAGAAACTCAAATCAGTATGTTGTTGTTTTCTTCTGAATGGGCCGATTCACAATGTCTCCATCTCCTTGCCAATATTTTCAAGTTTTTCACGTGAATTTTTAAATATTTTCTTCTAAAATTCACCACTTTCATCTCAGACAATAACTCTGATTTTTGTCTTGTAAATTTACAACTTTAATCTTCTTTTTTTTTTTTTTACTTACAATGGCCCCTAATAAGGCCGTCATATGACTCCCTACCAAAGAAGAAGTTCTAACCAGTGAGAAAGTGTCTCATATCAGTGGTCATGTTTGTGTTTCCCCTCCACAGATACCGACGACCCGGCAGCAGTGAGAGCACTGGTGGCGAATGTTCTCTACAAGGATTCGCAGACTTAGCACACACATCGACACACTGCTGTCTCCTCTGACTGTAAATACTCTGTTAATAAACACCGATTGTCTGTCTCCTGTGCTGCTGGTCTCTAATCTGCACTCGCTGCCTCGCTCTCCCCTGAAGATGAAAGCATGGGGCACAATGCAGGGAAAATAAAAAAACATCAGCTGAACAAGCGAGGGGCCTTTTTGCTTTTCATCCTGTGCAGCATCTCAGAATTTAAACTTCTGGAAGACATGAAGCGCTCCAGACGTGACAGCAAGTGTAGTTTGTCAGTGGCTGCAGGGCGTTACAAGAGGTGGTATTGAAGGAATCACCCACCGTTCCCAACGGGAGGATCCTATAACCACCTATACAGCCTCTCTCTTTCCTCATGCAATATAAATTTGTGTGTGTGTGTGTGTGTGTAAAGGGTAAAAGCAGGCTCAGGTGTCCTCGTAGGCCGCAGCCTCTCATCTCCTGAGTTTCTGCCCTTTAGAGGACGTGTCGGGGGAGAAGCCTTCGCCTATAGGACCCTCGTCCTGCTCGCTCAGAGCTCCACAGGTCGAGTTGCTGATGCTGCCGTGTTTTTCTTTGCCGTCACTTGTTGACTTAAAATTTAAATCCTCCTCTCAAATGAAACATGAGGGTGTAGCTTTTGTCGGTGCATTTAAAGTTTTTGTCTACATAATTACTAAGGGGTGTATTAAAAAAAGTCAAATACGAATAGAAAACTATAACGTAAGAAGACAGAAATTGCAAGGTACAGTGACAGTGGTGTGGTTAAAGTGACAGCGTACACCAGACTGATGGTACAAGTATATAATTGCATGTTTGTATAAGTATAGAGATATAAATAAAGAATAGAATAAGACTGAACATATTAACATAATATGATAAATGATGAAAGAATGGGATAACAGATATATTATGAGGTGAAAGGTACATCACATTATATATTGTTAAGCAATATAACAGTATTAAAAAAGAGTTTAGTATTAGTATAATATATAAGTTGTAAAATGCAGTATGTCACTTCTAGTTGGTGTCATTTTAAGAAGCTAATGATGTTTTTGACCCCATCAGCGTTTGAAACAAGCAAGTAATATGTAGGTTATATTATCCTTTATGATGATCATATGTTCTCCTCACAAATGTTAAGTGGTGACCTTGTTACTTACTGTTTTATCTCAAAGTCAACACGTCGGTGGTTCGGCTGCAGTTTGTCCTCATTAGACGTGAACATTCCTGCTCAGTGAGTTCAGTCTGATGTGTGTTTATGACCATTAATGGTCACGTTGTTGTTCTTATGGATCCTGTCTGTTACACTGGATTTAGGTCTGACATTAACCCTCCGTCTCCTGGTTCCCCAGAGGAATTATCAGCCTGTTCAGAATGCACAGTCCTCCCCTGGTTTCCAGTGCTGGGCCCTGTGTGACTGTGACCTTTGCCCCCCGAGCAGGCAGGCAGGACATAAAACACGTCTCATACGTCTGACCCGGAGACATGAAGTCCACTCGGGGGTAACGGCCTCGACATGAGCTCGCTGACCTTGTGTGTATTTTGTGTATGGTTTTGTCTGCAGCTATTTTAGCCCCATCATTACCACAATAAAAGCCCAAATTGCCCTTTTTTAGAAGTGTTATTGCCATCTGGAGGTTGGCCCACGAGCGATATTGCCTCAGGGGAGTTTGATGTTATGCAGCTTGGAGCTGTGTTTTAGTTTTGTATTCACTTCTCTGAGGAGTTTAAAGGTTACCGTGGAGTAGAGCAATATTTCAAGGAGAAACATGTCATAGGGCCCTGATTACTTTGGGTCATATTCTTGGGTCATGGGTTTTTGTGACAAATGTCAAATTATTGCTTTTTGAAACCACAAATGGAGAGAGAGGCTCTCTGGATATAGAGATTTTTAATTTTTTTTAATTTTATTATTTAGTTAGTGTTTCATTAAATATTTTACTTGATTTTTTCCATTTTCGTTTGTTTTTTATTTATTTGTTGCCATGTTTTTCTTTAAAAGCTCTAAGTCAATACCCCATTGTTAGTTAATAAGTTAATTAGTTCTAATTATGTGCACCTGACCTGTAACATTCACTGAGGGAAGCCTCAGTCGAAACGTTTGATAAACTTCAAAAGGAGGTGAACCAGACCTGAACCAGGTAAACAACATTGGATTGCTTTTTGAAACTGACCTCCTTTTGGGGTTTCTTTTAAAATCTGAACCATTATCCAGGCTTTATCCAGTAAAAATCATATAAATGAGCTAGAAAGAGGAAATTAAAGACTTAAAGTCTACAGCCATGCCAGCAGCTCTTTGTGACAAAGGTGCATTGAGCTAAATGCTATCATCAGCATGCTAACATGGCCACAATGACATTTGCTAATTAGCACTAAACACAAAAGACAGCTGAAGCTACTTTTTGAGACCGAGATTTTGATGAAAACTACAAATGTCAGCCTCATGGTGGCGCTAGAGGAGAAGTCGGTAGGAAACATCATCTGGGGATCATGATTCATATGACAATTAATATTTATTTTGACAAATTGAGACTTAAGGTAAGACTCCACAAGCCAGAAAGGTTGAGACGTCAACATGTAGCATGACTTTAATATTTATAAAGCATCACGAGGAGCCCGTCTACAGAACGTGACAGCATGAAACCACTCTCCCTCGAGGCTGCTCTCCACATGCTTCACCGTGAATAGATGCTGCAGCCTTTCCTTGATATCAGATATTATTTAAACACGTTATTTAAAATGCAATATTAAGCATCTGTTCTGCAGCCTTACATTGACAGATAAAGGACTAACCCTATTTCTGTATGAATAAAAATAAAATGTTAAATTCTTTATTATAAAAAAAAAAACTGAATTGAGGAGAGAAGGGATTATAATGATTTCATCCAACATTGAAGGAGCTTTTGTAAACTTCTTTTGAAAAGCTTTAATCTGCTAAAAGGAAATGTTGCTGCTCGAAATGGAGAAGAGCTCCTCTGTGATCTGAAAACAAACTGACAGCCGGCCTCTTCCTGGAGCACACATTACATCCTCCACAACCCTCCAGTGTCGGGTCGCTGTCAGGGTGGCGTTCAGACGATCTGTTGTCACTGTGCTTGTTTGTGCTGACTCCGCTTCGCTGTCACTGTTCCCCACGAACTCCTACTGCACAGTCGTGATCCTCGTCAATCAAAAGACCTTTTTGACCTCGTTGTCTGTGATGCACCCGTTTACCTGAACATGCCAAGCGTGATTTTAGATAAATATATGCAGCCATTATGTTTGATTGGTCAATCCAAGTAGTCTAGTGATTAATTCACTCACAAAGACGCCTTCCACTTAAACACCTCATACATCTGGAACACAATGCCGATGAATCACACACGGCAGGGACGGCTTCAGTGCACGAGGATAATTATGTGCAGGCTTTGAAAGAACATGAAACACCTGCTGTAGATTTGGGTGGTCTTCTACAACCGGATCATTTTCAGGTACTTTTTACAGCACCACACTTACATGACTGCTGATGATATGGTGAGCTTATGAAATACAATACTTTTCTTTTGGCCTCCTATAAAAAGGAGACTTCTCAGATAGTTTCATTCCAACAATTAAACATTGATTCATGCCTTTCAGACCCATTTTGGTTTGATGAGGTTCAGGGAAAGGTGAGAAAAACATCTTGGTTTTGCTACAATTACTACTTTGTAAAGTTTAGGGGACAATTCTGTTCATGATTAAAAGAAACCCACGTTGACTTAAAGTCTAACATTTAGTTTGCCCATCTATCCGTCCTTACCTCCTCTGTATGCAGACGTATGGCTCTATAATAACGTCACACTGCTTCTTCATTTGCATAATTACTGCGGCAGCTTGAGTTACTACTTAAGTAAAGGCTCCGAGTACTTCTTCCTTCATTGTGGTCATATTTTAGGCCATGCTTTGCAATATTTCTGTATTGAATTACATTATATTGTAATTTCTCTCCACCCTTCCTGCCAGTTCACATGAGCATCTCCCTCCTCAGCCTGGTGCATGCTTGGTCCTGGTGGTGGTACAGTGGGTGGTAATGTGGATCTGATCCTGACTGACAGACAGCTGGACCCCAAATTGTGTGTGGGGGGAGGTGGAGGGGGGGGGGGGGGGCTTGACATGAGCTCCATCACGTTCCATCAACGGCTCCAAGCAGCCGAGGGAACTGACACCACTGATTAACAGCGTCCAATTTCTGTCGGCGTCGAGCTTAATTCTGCGGCTTTCATCGGTTGCATCATCCCCTCGATGCTCGCTGGGGGGAAAGCTGCAGCATGAACAGCACACCAGGCAGCGTTAATAGCCAGAGGTTTCATCTCGGCAGATGCAGAGAGGATTTCTATCTGACTGGCTGCTTTTATCACACACAGTAGCCTGCAAGTGTTTGGTTTTTATGTCATACACTTTATGGGTGCAGTTGAAATTCTAACCAGTGTTTTGATCTTTGGAACAGTGAACTGCAACTGGCTTATTCTTTGACTCTGCGTCACATTAAGATTAAGAATAATAAGTAGTCCATGCAATCGTGAATGGAAAAATAATGTTTTCATTTATCCCACAGCGTTTTTCAGCATGTGGGATTTGTTTTGGAGATGCAGTACAGACTCAATTATGCCTCAGGGTTTGTTTTTTATACAAGGAGAGTAAGTAATATTTCTCCCTCAGAGATAGAGTTGTAGCTGGGTTAGTTGCCTAGGATGGAGTACGGGCCATCACCTGTCTGCCTGTTAATATGTAGTATGGCGTCAATGTTTGTTTGGTCTTTCACACCCATGTTATTTAGTGCCAAGTTGGAAACATCGTAGCTTTCAGAAAAATCTGTTTTGCAGTCATAATTACGACTTGCTGGCATGAATGGTAATTACAGTTCAGAAAAATTGTGCACTAATTACAATAACTTGCGTTCCTCTATTTGCATGTTCATTTCTAAGTGATTCTTTTCAGGCAAGAGCTGAAATGTTTTCAATTTCTTTTTTCAAACCCTCTCTGGAGCATCTCCCACTCACTGGCTCTGCGTTACATAACAGCCGCCTCCCCATAGAGGACATGGTCTGATCAATATTCCCCTCACATCACCCCTACTTCTCTCTCTGGGGTTAAGGCCTGTGGGTCATTCCCACTGAGTGAATCGAGCCCACGGGCTGCACTGTGTGTGTGTGGGTGTGTGTGTGTGTGGGTGTGTGTGTGTGTGTGTGTGAGAAACCCTTCACCAGATGGAGGGAGGAGATGCTTTTGATAGAGATGAAGGACAAAAAACGAGATGGAAAGCTATTTCTGGGGACGGGTGAAGTCTGTGTTGAGGTCTGGATGGAGGAGTTGGCTGCTCTTAAGGTCTGTGACAAAGGAAAAGTCTTCCTGCCCACACACGTTTCCCACAGACTCTAGAGCTGAAATACAAAAAGTAAACTGCAAATTAGAGTTTCATACGAAGGGTTAAAATCTCACTTTTAGCCAGCATAGCTCCACCACTTTGGTCCACACTTTGGTCCACTCCACATCTTGACTTGCATGGATAGCCATGAAACTTTTTACAGACGTTCATGATCCCCAGATGATAAATCCTAGCAACTTTGGCGATCCTCTGACTTTTTGCGCCACCGTGAGGTTTACATTTTAGTTTGTTAGTGATATGTCTTCTGTTTTAGGGAATTAACTGTTGGGTTTTGGTCTTTTCCTTTGGGTTTGTTGAGTAAGAAACATAGAATAACACCAAGCACTTGTCATTAGACTGTTTTTTCCAATGCTCTACTCACTCAATACTTATCCATAAATACAATAACATGGGCGGTTAATCACACAGGCAGTGTACTGTACGTCTACCCGACGTGGGCACTGAAAGCCTGGGCCTGTACTCCTCTGGGTGGAGATGTATATTAGTCATTCCCGCCTGCAGATCAGTTTGCCCTCTCTACTGCAATCTATATTCAACATGCCCTCTCAATGAGAACAGCCTCTTGGTGCCTACTGCAGGATGTTGCTTTATGCAACACCTCTTACTGCTCAGACAGAATCAGGCTCAGCTTAAAGGTCAAAAAGTCAACATATACCGCTTTTTTCTTGTTTCTTTTCACGACCGGTGATGTCTTAAGTGATCATGTTTTTAAGACTGAGCATCCGCTGGACATTTGTCTTAAGACTCCAACACGGAGAGAAAAGAACCAACGCAGTGTCTTCAGAGGGAATATGTGACTAATGGTGCTTTCCTAGCAGAGGTGTTACCTGCTGCAGATGTAACAGGATGTGGTGTGCAAAGTGACTCAAAACAAGGGAAGGTCGGGGGTGTGTGTGTGTTGGGGGGGGTCTTGAGTGGGATCCTCTGTAACAAGGTTTGTTGTAATTTCATGTTCCTGTGATGTTGTGCCCTCGTGTTCATGGCTTACCGGTGCCGGAAGCTGTCACACTGAGGCCTAACAGAAATAAATAGCATCCTCTGACAGCTCTGACAAGATGAATGTGGCTTGAGAGGAAACAGCCGCGTCAACCCAGAGACGAAATACCAATCGAATGCAGATGTGTCCCCGAACAGAAAAAAAGGATTTGTTTCGTGGTGACTCATTTTGCTGTCTTCTTGCAGGTTTACCATCTAGTCTCATTAGTTTTGCCGTCTAACATTGTGTTTCTTGTGCTTTTCACAGTGGCATCTGTAATATAATATTAAAAAAAGTTAGGACGTACACACTGCTCCTTTAACTTGAGATTCGCTCTGACAGACTTGACCTGGACTGTGTTCAATCTGTGTCATTGAAGAAGGGCAACAGAGCCTTCATTGGTCAGAGGGGTCAACTGTCGAAGCCCCCTGATGCTGTGGGAACATCTGCTTTCTCTGTTCTTTAGAAGGATGTACCAGTGAAGGGCACATACAGTACAGGGGTGTTTGGAAAGTACTGACCATGGGAATCAATGTGAGGTCCAATAAAACGTCTTCTAGTGGAGCCCTCCCACAACCAGTCTGCTGGCTCCCTTTATTCAGACAGACGGAGATTAGAGTGTTTAAACTGCTGCCCTTTCACATAATGTTGCTGTCCAAAAATGCCCGCCGCTCCTCCACGCTTCGTCAGTTAATAATGAGATTATGAATACAGAGTTAGCCAGAATACATATTTTTATTAGGCAGAGAAAATACTGTTCAGAGGAAGAGAAACACCAAAAATAAATTTCTGTCACACATCGATTCCTCTCATACGGCGTCGGAAGTTCACTAGTACATCAAAGAGAGACAGATCTACGTGTGGATGACCTCCGCGGAGAGGTTGGACGGATACTGTAGCACAGTCAAAAAGCACGGCACGGCTCAGGTGTTATTAAAGCACAGCATGATCTGAGGCAGTTCTTGATTCTCCACACTATGAAAACACTGAGAGACAAGAGAGGCAGGCGGCACTGTAGTCGGGAGTTTCTTGTGACAAACATGAGGCGTCAATGTGAATAACGTCAGCCCCAAAATAAAAAAGGTGATCAATGCACAAAGAATACCAGCTTACGCAGCCTCAGCCGAGCGATGAAGATCTCCTGAAAGAGGGAAGGCAGCTGGGGTCGGCTTTTGGCAGCTTGTTCTGACCGGAGCTCGGTGTACCGGTTTGGGGGAAGTTAGGACGTAATCCACTTTTTCCCATGTGAAACACAAGCTAAAACAAGGCATGAAAAAAAAATAATAACCTGCTTCGACTCCTAACCCACCCACACACACACACACACACACACACACACACAGCTCCGACTAGTACACAAACATGCAGACTTGTACAAAGGCAGAACTTTACAAAGTCATGCAGATGGAATGTTTTGATGTTTCTGTAGCCGAGTCAAATATGGCCGGACGTCTATTTTTATTAGATGGGGTTTACAGGGAACTACTGTAATTCAGTCTAGGCTGTCGTGACAAACTAGGAGTGAGCTCCTGGAAAAACTAAACCACATCAGTCGTTTGATGGGGAAAGAAAAAGCAAAGGGGCTTTACCAAGCTGAATAGAAAGGAATCAGTAAAAATCAGTAAAGGTGGTGTTTTCCTCAGATCTCTTTTTAAAATGCTAGACGAGAACCCGTCCTTGTCTCCTAAAGAGGTAGCCTGATCCAAACCTCATCACACAAGACTTCAAAAAACTTCTCAAAATTTCCTTTGAGCACACTGGAAAGGGGATCCTGAGTACCGACACTTTTTTAGACAAGTTATGTTGATTCTTAAAGTTTGACAATTTGGAAACACGTTCATCGGCATCCTTGATGAGAGTATGGTGAGAAGATGCTACCTCTCTCATGTCAGTCTGTACGTTAAATATGACAGCAATTACCTTAGCTTAGCATAAAGACTGGAAAAGGGGAAACAGCGAGCCTGACTCTGTATAAAAGTGAAATTAAAAAACAAGTTGAGTTTTAGGTTTATTTGCTAGCAGCTAGACTACTTGTCTGACCACCTTTACTATAAAAATTCAACTTGATGTATTCAGTGTTTGTACGAATTAAACTAAGGTGTAACAAGTTTACTCGTGAGCTTTAGAGCTGCTCGTAGGTTTGTTACCTTTAAACAGAGCCAGGCTAGCTGTTTCCCCCTGTTTCCAGTCTTTATGCTAAGCTAAGCTAACCGGCTATCCGTCATCCTTCTCACATAGTCTTGGTAAGAAAATTAACTAGCATGCATCCCAAAGTATGAAACAATTCCTTTGACACCATTTAAACTGAAATGATTTACAATTTAACACTTTTTATTTACTTGATGATCTAAAGTTTGTACCGCCAAATCACAAAGTATTCTACTAAAGTTCACGTTAAATGATTATAATGGTTTTCCCTTTTAGAGAGCGTCATTGTTTCCCAAGCAGCTCAACAGAGGAATTGGATTTGAATACACAATATAATCATAAAGAATGATTGGATCAGCACCCGCTCTGTAAACTAGACTAATTTAAGATAAGAGATAATCAGGGCGAATGTTCTACAAACACATTGATGTAAACTCAAGAACGACAGTGGCGAATGCTCATCCATGTTCTGGCAATGTGTGGGAGACACTGTGACCGGACTCGTGCAGACACGAACGGCATCACGCCATGTTGTTGCTGCAACCAGTCGAGATTTGAGGAAGTGGTCGCCGCCGTCGAGTTCGGGCTCACAGGTTCTCGTTGGGGTCGCGTTGGCACTGGCTGTCGGTCGAAGGGTTCAGGAAGGGCAGCTCCTCGCCGCAGCCCTGCAGCTTCAGGACCCGACTACTCAGGTCCAGGCAGCACTGTGAGAGGAAACACATCGGGGAACGTAATTAGTGGTACATCGGTGGTTCAGGATAAAATAACTACAAGAAGGTTGGGAACCATTGTGCTTCATGACCACACAGAGGTGACACGATGCGTCAGTGGACAGAAGTTTAATAAACAAAGCAATAAATTATTTTTTCCCGTTCTACATCATCCTAAATTGCACATCTTTAGGTTTTGGAGTGTTGGACGAACATAACAAGCAATGTGAAGACGACACATCAGATACGAGCATCATCCTCATGTCTACATAGTTCTTAGATCAGTACACATCCAGTAATTGGGGACTTTAAATGAGATGCATACTGAGTATCGTTCAGCTAATATCAAGCTGTCAGCTCTCTCTAGATTGTTGTGTTTGCTACGGTAATAATTGTAAATGGTGTAAATGTTTGTTTTCTCGATTCTTGTTTGGCCAATTAAGTCAGAAAGTTGTGAAACGTGCCCATCACATTTTCCTAAATCCACAAAATATTCAGTTTACTCACAGATATAACAAGTGTTTAACATGAGGATGACGTTTGTAGTATCTCTGAGTCTTTTACTACAAAGTAAAGTTGAGTTGTTTTTGCAGTCCTTGTGTTAATGATAGTAATCATATTTCATTTCTATATTGTTTATGGAAATTTGTAGCGCAAGCTCATCATGGAAATGTTCTTCTAACATTACAAAGTCCTTAAGGGCCAATTTACGAAACTAAGAAAAAAGAGCTCATGTGCGTTAATGCCCTCAAGTCTCTCATTAACTTGATTTTAGAAGGATATTAACCAGATGCAGCTGAGTCAATACTGAAGCTAGAGGGGCTCTCGGAGAGTTCAGACCTCCGGCAAGGCCATTAAGTGAAAAAGAATACGTGTATCCGCCCCATGATTCTAACACGCTCCCAAATGTATTGGGTTATTCCTTGGTGTATGCTACACCCTTCCACCAAGTTTCATGAAAATCAGACCCGTAGTTTTTTTGTAATCCTGCCGACAAATCCAAACCGAGAACATAACGTCCTCCGTGGAGAGAGATCACTGCCTTCAGGTTGCCAGTTATGAGGTTTAAATTGCATTTTCAAATGTGCAATTTCAACAATTCCACCTCACAAGATGTCCTCAATTCGCTGTTATCTGGGTTTTACCTGCACAGTGGGGATCGAGCAGATAGCTGGGCCACTAAAATACCACCACCAGCCTTTCCCCTTATACAGTAGATAACACCACATACAGCACATCTCCTTTGAGGAATGTGTGCCTCCATCTTTCCCCCTGAAATGATATTTATTTCTCTTCTACAGTTTTCTCCTTTTTCTTTCCCTTTTTGCTTATTTTTAAAAGCCGTTTCAGGCAGCTGGTCCTTTTAAAAAACACATAAAAAAAAGATAAGGCATTGAAAATATTAGCAAATCAAATGAGGACCTTACTTTAAGTTCCAACAGAGTCTGAAGACCGAGGCACAGCTCACACGCCTCATCCTCTGAAAGTGGAAAAGGGAAAAGGAGATAAGAGGAGAGAAACTGAATTTTATGAGCGCTTTACGATTCCCACTCATGAACACCCTCATTTGAACGTGCATACATTAGCCTGAATCCAGGTTAAATCCCCAACACAACCAAATAACTCATTCTTATGTTAACTAGTGCTGATTATTGTATCATTGTGAGGACGAGTTTTGAAGCAGCGAAGTGAGAGTTTAATGTCCGTGAGAGAGTCTGGCGCTGGGATTGAATTAGAGTCATCGTTCACTGAAGCGGAGGAATTAAGGAGTAGGTTCAGACAACAACTGCACCATAAATAACTGTGTGTTTTTGTCTTGTTCTTCTAACTTTGTGAGGACCAGATAACAAGGGGAAGGTCAGGAGAAATCAAAGCAAGGACACAATATTTCAGTAATTTAAAGGTTTGGGGCTCTGGAAGTAAAATCTGACTTTGAAGGAATACTTTGACTTTTTTGGAAATACATTAATTTATGTTTCTGCTGAGAATTAGATGAGAAGTTTGATACCACTCTCACGTCCAAACAGTAAATATGAGACAACAGCCAGCAGCTGTTTAGCTTAGCTTAGCATTAAGATTAAGGGGAAACTGCTAGCCTGGCTCTACCTACCAACACCTCTAAAGCTCACAAATTAACACTTTATTTTAGATTTAATTTAATCTGTGTGAAAACACAAAGTGTGAATATGATATATGATGTGTTAATTTGTGCTTTAGTTGGCTGGTTGCTTTCCCCCTAAAAACTGGACTTTCAGTTAATGAAGTTTGGTTCTTGTTGGCAATGCTTCTTCTTTGTCTGTTCAGCCATGATGACAATTGCTGCTCATGATAATTATCTTTCCATTGTTCTTTTTCTGCAGCAGGGGATTTCCCCTGTGGAGAAAGCTAGCTGACACTCTCAGTACAGAAGATGTAAAAGCTTTTATACGACATTATTGTGCTGCATTGGCAATATAAATTGGAAAAGATCAGCAAAACATTTATTTGCTTGAAAATATTGTTGATTACTGCTTTAACATATTCTTCTCTACCCAGCTGTCCTTTTATTTCATGGTTATTTCTGCCTGAGTGCTTTGAGAGGACAAGAAAGGATTTGCTGTCTGAATGTTAAGTACAGAGACGAGCTCATATCAAACTCAGAATCTCTTTTAACAGAATCTCTGCAGAGACGACGCAGCAGGTGAATTCATATTTCTCTGCTCCACTTCAGACTCCACCATGACCTTCACATTTGTGCTTTTGAATGAAATATCTCAACAGCTGTTGGATTGGTTTGCCGTGGCATTTGGTAGACATTTCTGTCCCCCTCAGGATGAAGTTTAATAACTATGGCTCTAGTTCTTGCGGTTTATCTCGCATCGTTGGCGCTAGTCAGCTTTATCGGCCCCCGACGGTGCTTTGTTTCACAGACGTATCATAGCAACGGCTTGTATATCCACAGTTCTTGGTCTGCCGGTTTCCCTTTTTGAATAGTAAATACAGACCACCGCCACCGGCTGGTATCGAGAGTTATTTCCTCTCAAGCAGGGGCAGAACGTACACGGTAGTTGGCCAATGGTTGTAGTCTTTGCGGTGTGTTCAAGTGCAACTTTTTGGCGAAGACACAGGCGACGTGAAGGCAACGCAACAATCAGCCTTTTTTTCGCCGCTAGCTCTTTGATGTTGCAAATACCTGCAAAACGTATGACTTTCCCGTCAGCCTACTTAGCAAATGTTAGAATGCCAACACGCTGAGGTGGTGAACATTGTAAACATTAAACCTGCTAAACACCAGTGTGTTTGTATTGGTAGCGCGTTAGCATGGTGACACTAACATTTACAGCCCCACAGAGCTGCTGCTTGTAGACTCTTGTTAACAAATCATTTAAAATGTTACACATATATATATAGTGTGATTCTTACCTTTGACGAAGGCTGAACATTGGACCGTCTGTCTGCCCAGCTGCAGCTGCAGACCCGTCACTGAGCTGCTCCCATCACATGGTGAACCGTCCTGAACGGGAACCAGTCTAATAACACACAGACGTAGTATTTCATTTCATTTCATACTCTAGCTGTCTCCCGGAAACAGATTTTTTCATTATGTGCCACTCTGAGCTTTCGATTAAAATGTCAATCAAAAGTTTGTGCTTTTGGGATTTTATTAACATTTTGGGGACGAACAGAACACCAATATTAGAACCCTTTACTTTACTTTGATTTAAGCTAATTTGACCTTAAGATGAGAACAAAATGTCACAAGCCAGTGCACAGACTCTGATCTAACGACTGAGCTTCATTTGGCATTTAAATATCTTTCCTCAAAGATGAAGGTGGTGTCTGGTCTTTAAGAATCTGGATAAAAACCTGCCTTAAGAGCTTGTAATAGTCATGACTAAATCCCTCCTAAAAGCTTATATCTTTTAGCCAATTCTTTAAATGTTCCTTCTATTCTGATTCCTGTTATCTATAGAGCTTTTTATATTGATTTTACTTTTAAAGAAAATCAGCAAAAAACAGATTTTCCATCAATGTTTGGTATTTGCTTTTGGTGGCTATTATTGTCAAAGCGCTTCATGCTTCTGTATTAAAAGACGGCAGGTACGCTGTAGGTGTCTGAGTGTGTTTGCGGTTAGGAGCAGGGATTTACTCACCCCAGCCTCTGGCAGCAGGAGCTGGAGATGTGGTTATGGTGGCTGCCGGTGTTGATGGATGCCTTGACTTCACTCTCGCAGCACTGCGGGGAAGACGGAGGGGGGATTGTTAGCGTCACAGTGTGATTTTTCCACTTCAGTTTGGCACCGCAGCACGCGAGGAAACAACCAGTCACACCAGCACATTAACACAACTCTGGGGAGCCTCTGAAACCCACTGATCTCTTCTTCTTTTGAACTAATCCATTCTGCTCCCACTACGCTTGTGAAACTGCCAAACTGAAAAACAAACTCCATGTCGACTGTTAATTAACTTTGCACCAACAAAACAAATCTCCCATTGGTGGAGTGTTTCCAAGCCAGCCCTTGTTTTTGTGGAAGGTCTGCTTCAAAGGTTTGGTTAAAATGTTATTTGGTGTTTGTAACTTGATATCTATTGATTCTGTTTGACTCTTAAATCACTATTTGTCCGTTAGATGCTGCAGGCGTTTGGTTCAACAGTTAATAATCAAGTTAAATATAAACCAACAAGGACATTCTGTGTCCACCAGTACGGATCAGAGATCAAGAGTTTTATTATTAGCTGATGTGATAAGTTCATGTTGCTGACTCTGTGTCCCGAAAAGATGCCGATTGTTCAGTTTGTTGAGTGCACTTTGATTTTTCAGACTTAATGATCTCAAAAGCATCACCAGAGCATGAAATATTAACCAAGTGAGTCATATGTGCGTTTAACTCATCAGTCCACGCTGACGCATCATTCATTTACAAACTATAAACACTGTATTTTTTATAACGTGATGAAATTAAATGATAAAATATGAAAGGAGTCGCTCGTGTTTACAAACCCAGGGGAAATATCCCACAACGCTGCAGATCCTCTCAGCGCTACGGAGCTTTTTAACATCTTTCAGCTCATTGTTTTTTATGCAAAAGCAAATAAGTGTATTTCCGTAATGTCTATCAGATTTTCCCATTATGCAAGCTGGAGTTTTACATTTGCAAACATCTTCTGCATCTCTCAGCCGCTCTGTTGCCTGCAGGGCACTTTCATGTCACAAGAGGAAAACCTACAGCGCAGCAGATTGCACCGGTTTATGGGAACTCTTTCTTTTTCTCTGCATCCTGTACACAAGCAGGAACATGTTCGTGGGTGAAAATTGACTAATGGTAGAATAAATAATGTATTCACAACATATGGTATAGCCCTGCATGCATGTGAGATAAGCAGAAAGCAGGCACCACCCCCGCACTCTTCACTGTGGATCACATGTGTAAATTAGATATTTTTCCACTATGCAATATCAGATATATGCAGCTACATTACTCTAGGGCCTTTCATTGCTTTCAGATAAACCGCAGTTCAAGACACAGTAACGTTATTAGTATTTTAGTGTAGTTTTATTAAAGGTTAAAGTCCTCACAGACAGATCAGTCCAAATACGGGTCTACTACTCCACTACATGTATCCGTCAGCTGTCGGATTAACGTTTTTTAATATTAGGACACAAGGACACATGTTTCTCCAAACTGAGGTGTCAAGTGTTCCTTTATTTAATTCTCCTACTTCTTCACATCCTCACAAAGCTGATCAATTTGAGGTATTGTTCTCTCGGTGTTGCCAGTCTCTGGGATTCATTCACTTTCTGCTGTATAACTTCTTAAATTGTTAAATGTTTTGAGATATTTATCACAAGTTGTTGGATGGTTAACATGTAGCACCTTTCAGCCTATTATTGTGTTTGTGTATATATATATATATATATGCATAACAATTAAAACATTGGCCATTCAAATATATGAATTAAAAACAATAAATACAATTCTACTTAAGTCATAAACAGTTGCCTTATATTAAGAGATTTAATCACATCTACTGTGGTTTTTACTGTTCAGCACCTGATTCCTGACAATGTATCTGTAAATCTTTCTCTCTCCATCATCAATCAATAACTTGTGCACTTGACCTGAGGATAACACACCCCCCCCCCCCCCCTTTGGAAATAGACATGGTCAGTTTCCATGAGCCTTGTTTTGATCCCTCGCTCTCCGTACAGACTGAACTGAGCCTCCTTTATCCTCACTGGCTTATCAGCAGGCCCACAAACCTGCTCTTTTGTCTCAGTCCCAGCGGTGCAGAAATCCTACAGTTTAAAAATAGCTGCCGAATGAGTAACGGAGGAACACTTTGCATTTAATAAGTTGATGATAAAACCGAGCAAAGCACAATGAGTAATAGGGGGGGGGGGAACGCTGAATCTACAAGAACAGTCTGAAGTGGACTACTAAAATAAAGCTGTGCTACATACTTTTAACATCAGAGAGAACAGCAGTTGTTTGATCAATGTATTGATTTCTTTCGAAGGATACAATTGGCTCCGTCCTTGGTGTCATTCCTTGCTGCAATTATTGCTAATCAGAATCCAAAATGTTGAAATATTAGCTCTTTCGCCCCTGGATGTAGGCTAAGTGTTACATATTGGCACTATATATCCAGTGTCTTATGTGAGCAAGTGGGGAGATTATGCGCGTGTGTGTCTGTCTGTCTGTCCACAGCTAAACTAGCCTACTACTGGACCCATCAGCCTCATATTTGTTGTGCTCATTTATGACTATGCTCAATGACTTCTTGTGAGTTTGGTGATTCACATTTTTTGGAATACATATTTATTTACTGTTATATAACGTCATTGACAGCTGACTCCTCACTCCTCACGCCTCCTCTTAAGCGTATCCTCTTATCTGTCCATCAAGCAGCATTAAACAGCAGTTTTAAAATCTGTATATTGTATCGGAGCATGTTAAGAACGTAGATCTTTTAATATTAACTTTATTCTCTTTATAAACTAATATGTACCGGTTGCGTAATGTCCGTTATTCTATAATGGATGTCTGTTTTTGTTAATCCAAGCACGTAAAACATCACCGTTTACTCAATATGAAGAATCTGTTGAGGACTGACTGAAGCACCTCTCCGCATACATTGGTCTAAAACAACCCTTAATGACTAATGTGTCTCAGACAAATCGTGAGAGAAGACGGCAAATAAAAAGCATGAATGCGGAGTCACTGGATGCATAATGGTGCAATTTTCTTCTTTGTTTTGACAACAGCAGACACCCCGAAAGACCTGCACATGTGATTTACTCGCAGTGTTGAAGGTTAATGTATGCCTCTCTGTGGATAGACTGATGAATAGTTGCAGTCACATTTATTTTTTGCAACCTGGACAGATTTTCAATGTCACGGCTGAATTTGAAAATGGAGATGAGATATGATATTTCAGAACGAGACTTCTTTTTTGTTTGTTTCTGTTGGGTTCTTTCCATAATGTCAGACACTTGTAATAATCTGAGCCTGTCAGTGGCAACAACAAGATCTTTTAATGGGCGTACATTGACAGTGAGAAGTTGCCCCAAACGTTTACATTACAGCCCGTTTAGCGACTGCAGCGTTCTCCTTCAATACTGGACCAACTTAAAACACTGCGTCCTCATTAGTGTGTTATAAACTTGACGTGGAGTTTGAGATGAAAACCTTATTGAGCTGCATTATGGGAAATGTGGGATTAAGTGCTTGTTCCCAAACTAGGGACTTAGAGTCAGTACTTCTCAGCCACTGCTGCTAAAGTTTGACCATTGTTTTTAAATATGTTTCGTTATATAAGACAAATCCTTCAATGCCCGTTGTCTTAACCTTTATCCTAAGTAAAAAGTATTTTTGCCTTTATTGATGGCAGCTATAGAGAGCTGAGAGGTAATAAGTGAGGAGTGATGTGTCAACTTGGTCATGCATCGATTCCTTTGCTCACTAGTGTGTAATGTCCTCAACCACTGATGTGTACATATTGCTGTGCTGTCATCTTTACTGAAATTGCTAATTCAACGTAAAACCAGGCCAACCCTAATTCCGTTGTTATTAAAAGGGATTTAGCAAGCAACACTAAGGTAAAAGCAGAGGTTTGTGGCCGTAAATTAAGCTTTATGTGGGACTGCCACTGCATCAGTACTAGTGGGCCTAAGTGAGAGGGCTGCACACATTTTAATGTCAATTTACACATTTTTTCCCGTTTTTTGTCCTGAGATCCACACAGTTGGACTCTCAGTCAACATGACTCAGCACTCTATTGTTCTGCTCCATCCGGACAACCACTGGATCCTGCCAAGCTTTTCATGGTTTGTAAAGGGAGAATAAACAAAGAGTGGGCTTTAAGGGATGAGTCATGGGAGCAGAATGTTGCTGTCTTTGTATTGCCTCTTGTTTACCTTGCATTGAACAACCAGAGCTGTGAGGAGGGTCGAGCTCTTCTCCGCCATCTGTCTGGCTCCGGCTTCGCTGCTGTCGTCCTCCTCGTCCGACCGTAGGCTCCTCTCGCTTTCCTCCAGAGACTCCCTCTCCTCGGTGGAGTCGTCGGCGGTGCTCTCGCTCCTCTCCTCGGCGTCGGCGGCTCCGTCCTTGTAGTCGGCCAGCGGGGAACGAATCCTGCCGTTGGCGTCCCGGGCCTCCCCCCGCAGCCGCGTGATGTTTCCCTCCATTAGGCGGCGCTGGACGATGCTGTGAGGTTGCTAGAAGGGGAGACACAAGAGAAAATGGTAGATGGAAGGATTCTTTAGCAACAAATAGAAATGGAATATGAGTCCAGTTTTACAACAAAACGGATCTGAACAATCCATGTTTTTACGATGGCTGGTACTGATGTTTATAGAAATTCCTTGAGGATGCTTGAGCAAAAAATTCTAAAGAATTGAAGGTTACAGGTTCTCAAATGTGAGACTTTGCTGCATTTCTTCACGTTACTGTAAATCGAATATCTTTGGGTATTGAACTGTTGGTCGGACAAAACAAGACATTTAAAGACGTCACCTTGGAGTCTGAGGAACTGGGATGGATAGTTTTCACTTTGTTCTGATGTTATAGACCGAAGGATTAACCGATCAACAAAATAATCAGCAGATGAATCAATAATACAGATAATTAGTAGCTGAGCCCTAGATATACGCTTAGTGAAAAATCTAGACACTAAAAGTCACATCAAATCCAGGATAAAAGATTATCTGCATATTCAGAAACATGAGAACTTGCTTCTCCAACCGTAATGATGAAGCTTATTTATGCACATTTGTGCAGGCTCAGATAAAATCAGTTCCCCTACAAACAGATGGCAGAATCAATCTAATCTGCATCATATACAAGGTGAACTACACTCACTACTGTTGTTTTTATGTCAAGAGAAATACTGGCTTCATTTGTTCATGAGGTCTGGCGCTTTAATTGGAGCATTAATTACCAGAAGATTTCTCTCTAACTGAGTACCTTCCTATTTCTCAGCACTGCCAGTTTCTAAGAAATGCAGCTACACTTAATGAAGTTAGTAATTAAGGTGCCGGACAAATAAAGGACTGGTTCCTACTCTGCCTCCATTTCCAAAATCCTCTCTCCATTAATGGTAAATACATTTCCCTTACCACAGAAAGAGCTGTGAAAGAGATGATTTGTGTGTATCAATTACTAGTAATACATTGTAATGCAAATTACTGATCAGTACCTTTTTAAATGAATGATTCTTCCACGTGATTTTCACCCCCGATTACTGCATATGCATGCTATGCAGACTTCTGATTTATATATTATTCAAATTTGAGCTCTGGCATTGAGCGTAAATACAGCTTTCAGACTCCATAAACACACAAAAACATTGGTAACACTTTAGATTACGTCCTGCAACATGCAGCGTAATTCTTCCCAATTTACGAGAGTCCACCATCTTTGTTTGCTGGTGAAGTGAGTGAGTTCTTTCTGTCGGGGTTATATATATACAGTAGCTGTTGTCTGTAGATTTGGCATTAGAGCTGCTCGCCATCAGGAATTCTCTTTGGATGATTCTTGCAGAAACACATTTTTAAGCCAAAAGCCATCACACTGTAGCAAGCAGAGACCATTTTAACTGTGGATGCTCAGGTGGGCTGAAGATTGAAGCCAGCGTAGCATCGGCTGTGTCATTTCAGATCCTCCTGCTCCTCCTCCTCCTCCTCACAAAATAACACACTGAGATTTAAATTGCTAACTTTAGCTTCAGCGGGGGAAGGAAAATTACCTTCCAAACTACCTGAAATACAGGTCACATTATCATGTCATGAAAGCCAATTACTACTACTTTCAGGTCATCAGTGTCAGCAGACATTGAACGATTTCTAGCATGGTTTTCTTTTTGCACCTCAACCTTGTTGTTCGATTACACACACCTTTCGCTTTTCGGGAAGTCTTTTTTGGGAAGACAACACTTTTGTTATATATATTTAATGTTAGTGTGTTGATCTTATGATTATTGACAGATCTCCACAAACAACATGTGGCCGCCAGTGACTGGCTGTTCTTTCTGGATCATATGAAAAAGTAAATCATATTTAAGCTGCCTGTTCCTCTATAATCACATCGCTGTTCGCCAGTTCAGACTTTCAGACAGCAAGCTTTGAAAAGAGCAGGTCACCCAACTCCAGCAGCGTCTCGGCATTAATGAAGCACAAGGCTCGGGGTGTTTTTGAACGCTAAAATCAAAAGGATCTATAATTAGTGAGATAAGATAAGGTAGCACTGTTTTTATCCTGAGGGAAATTGTTGTGCAGCAGCTGCAGTGCAAGAATGCAAATATGGAATAAGTTCAAATAAGGCAAAATATGGACAATATGTAAACAATACATAAGAAATGACAGAAACAAAAATATAGACAAAACAAGACAGAAAAAACAAATTATAACACAGAAATACACACAAAATAATCTAAATGTGGTTACATAGTAGTAATGGTAAATGGCAAATGTTTATTTAATATTTATAACATATATTACTACATAATAATATGGAAATATATACATATATATGTCTATATTGTTATATTCCTATATTGTAACTTCTGCACAATTTTATGTCTTATGCATAGAAATAGAATTTCTATGGTCTCATCTCTTTTCCTTTTTATACATTTTGCAGTGTCATTGTTGCAGACAACATGAGTTTACTTTTCATTTCTGAAGTGAAGAGGACATTTTGAGAAGTCAGATTTCATAGAAACTCGTCCCCTGGACCAAAGTGTTGCAACAACTGGCTGAATAACCGCCTCACCAGCCAACATCGGCATCTGTAGAGCCATAAACTCAGCGTTGTGAGTATCTTGGTCGAATGCCAGTCTCAAAAAGGACTTCCCCATCTGTCGACCCGTTCTCACTATGCTGTGTCTGTCAAACAGCCTTGAATTTCTACGACCTCCCTCCATCTCTCTCCTCTTTCCGCTACACGTTTACAGAAATTGGTTCACTTCACAAACGTCCAATTGTCAAAGACAAAGACAACCTTCTTTTGTCTGTAAGGGAACTCCATCCAGCAGCTGTGATTGTTTGGCTCTGACCCTTATGACCATATTATAAGTAGAGATAAAATAAGGATGGAAAAGATGTGGTTTTTTCCACATTACTGGTCATTATTTAACGTTTCTGCTCTGATTAACATGCTCTGATTCTGTTGTTAAAGTATTCCTGACTAGAATTTAAATGAAGGACGATTTCATGGGTGGGCAAGCAGCAAGCAGAAGGAGAAATATGGAACAATAAAGAAGAAAAGGCATCGAGCCCCGAGAGACCTTAACATGGCTGTGATAATGTCCTCTCATGCCTGGACATCTCTGAGGGTTGCCTGGCTTTAATACAACACCTCTACAGGTCATGGAGAAGTCATTTTTGACTGTCTGCCAGGTCGAAGAGAACTGATTCATTTTGAAAAAAAATCAAATGCTGTCAATCCGCTCTCTTCCTGTCCAAGCTGGAAAACAACACTTCAATCTAGTGATCACAACCGTGTCCATTTAGCCCATTCCTTCCTCTCCGAGCTCCAGCTGTGGCCCAGCTCTTAAACCGGCAGTGAGGAGCCTCTTTACATCTCTCCTCATCACATCTCTCCTCTTTAGATCCCTCATCTTTAGATCTCTCCTCTTTAGCTCTCTCCTCTTTTTTCGTATTACCTTACCACACATCTCTTCTCTTCCCTCTCCCTCTCCTCGTATCACTTCTCATCTCCTCTTTTATCCTTTTCATTGCAATTATTGGAAATCAAAACACTATTTCTGCTTTCCACTGGTATTTATTCCCATAAAACCAACTCAAACCCCGGGCGTAACATAAAAACAATTTAAAAAGTAATCTTCTCTGCAGGAGCTCTTCACATTCAGCTCGTTGACACATGAACTAATCAAATTCAATCAGCAGCTCCTCTTTAGACTCGATTGTTTTTTTTATTGTCGTGTTCTCGACATCGGCCTCTTCCTCGTCCTCTCTCTGTGTGTTTGTTCTTTCCCACCTGACCACTCACTGGCAAAATCACACATTTATTAACAGTAATAACAGTAATTATCCTCTTATGCAAATTAGTGAAAAAACAGCTTATTAAAGAGGGAACAATGACAGATTAATGTTTATATATATCTGCTAGTGCGTCAGCAAACGCGTGGAAAATATTGTTTTACGGTAATTGATTGTTAAGTCTGGTGGCATAGAGAAGCATGAGAAGGAGGGAAATTATGTCAAGACCTGACAGTTTGGAGAAGAAGGGGGAGAGTTTGCTCTCATGAGACTTCAGGGAAGCAAAGATTGAATCTGATAGACACAATGAACACGATGTGATTTCATTTCAATGGTGGGCGTCTGTTTCGTTGCTTAGCTCAAACTGCTCTGGATCAGATCGAGATCAAATCACAACATCGAGCTGCTAGCAGTGTTGCCTCATAGCGATCTTTCACCTCACAGGCTGCAGTTTTGTCTGTTTTTTGATGGAGTGCAGAGGTTTTTGAACTGTAGGGCAGGAGAGAGGAAGTTGGAGACGTGAGGCAAAAACACTGTGAGAGAGTAAAATGGAGGCAATTAAGGTACTTTAAAACCTGTAGCGTCGAATTTCCGCAATTTCCGCAATTTAAATCCGTGGGTACAATGGAAGCAGGAACTGCTTATAGCTAATTCTGAATAGAAATACGCCAGTACATTCACTTATATCGGCTGAAAACGTGCCTCACAAACACAACTCTCTTTGTTTACATCCCCCAAAGCATCATGGGAATTGTAGCTCCAAATTGATGATATCATGAGTAACAAAAAGCATCAATATTAACTTGTTCCATGTTGCATTATCACTTCCCTCCTGACACATTGTTCCACTGGCTGCTTGTCAGCAGGTTGAGAGTGATTCGGCATCAATCGTGTGTCCTCATGGATTTCCTGTCATGAATTTAAATGGAGACAGCAGGCAGTGGCATCCCATAAAGAGTTTATCTATAATACACGATGCAACCGGCTGTGTTCGCTTCATTCGACAGTGAATTGTTTTATTGTTGAAGCATGCTGAGGTGAAATTGGCATCACTGAGGTGTAATCTGTCTGTTCATTTTTCTCAGCATGGAGAGGGATTTTGGACGATATCATTTTGAATGTTTCACAGATAGTGTGGCAACCATCGTTTATCACGTTTAACAGATAATTAATGGCATTGATTTGATAACGAGGCCACTAGAGAGCTCCCTTCTCTT